ACTTTCACATGCATGCTAAATAAATGCAACTTAGAAGTACAGTAATGAGATTTGTGTGGAAATTAAGTACTGGCACGGAATCAGTAAGCAAAGAACTCGTTTCTGTGCTATAGAATAGTAATATATAAGTTATTGTCTTTGTGTAGAGTTTGTGATGTTTGAACAAATTTAGTCAAGTAATTAAAGAGCATTGTAATACACTGTCAATGAGTTATGGGAAATTTATCGGCAAGCACGAAAATGTCAGCTGCAAGGATTAGGCTGTTTGAGGAAAGGCTGAACTATAATAAGCTAAATTAATGTTTATTAATCCATTGTATTGATTGTCCCAAGGATTAGTTATGGTTTTCTGCTAATTTGTACCAGAACTCCCCTTTTGCAAGGAAAGATGTTTCTAGAAACCGTGAATTTTTGGTTTTAACAATAAAAGTAACCTTGGATCAAATGTTCCTGAATTATTTGTTTAACATTTGAGGATTTTACATTTTACTTGTATCCTGTGCAGTTGTGAATTACTTTTTATGGTATCCACCTTGAACATTCAGCTGTGTAAATAACAGGTCATTCCTCTCTTTCTTTCAAAGTTAACTATTTCAATTAAAACACTCATGCTCAGCAGGTGCAAGAGGACGTGATTGATGAACACTTTCCAGCTAACAAGACCATTAATGGAATGAACAGTGTTTCTGGTGATGAAGCTCCTACACACAAGGTTTCCAGGGAAAGCCAACAAAGAGAATACCAAGGAAATGGAACTAAGGTTGTGGTGAATGGTGTTTCTTAAACATTACCCACCATCATTCAGTTCTGCATAAATTTGTATTTTCTAATAGTGCTTGTAAAAGCTTGCCAAAGATAGAATAAGGACTGCCAGACTTTACGGCGCACTTTTTTTCTAGTTCCTCTGTACTGGAATGGATATGGGAGGGTTCTTTATTAAAACACTTGTATAAATTTGTTTTTCACCTAGTTAAGTTCTCAATACATTAATCAGATATTGTGCCTTCAGACAATAGATGCAAAATTAAAGGAACTAGCTGGTTGTAGGGAAATGTTTTGATATGTTTAAAATAAATTTCAGATTATTCTGAAAATGGAGATCATTGACATTTACTGTAATACTGGATAAAAGCATTGGCTGCTTTTTGTCAAGTTCTCCAATATGCAACCACTTCTGAGAAAAAAGTAGAAAATGCAGTTTCAAAATTTTGCACTGAATTGTAAATTTAACATTTGGTATGCTTGGTGATACTAGTCTGGAAACTGGTCAATTTTACTAAATCTCTGTAGGTTTTTTAATACTGTATGTAGAAAAATTGCAGACCACTGGAGAATACTCGTTTGCATCTATACATCTGCAGGGACATTGGGATGAGATTGGCAGTGACTGTTTTAAAAAGGGGCTTGTTTGGTTTATTTATTAAATGTACAGTATTTAAAAATCAAGCAATGCTTTGGATGTTACACTAAACTGGTTGTAGATGTCATTGCCAAAATAATCCAACTATTGTAAGATTAAGTTCCAGAGAAACAATTTTCCATGTAAACTACATTTGTTAGAGTCCTTAGAGAATTTTTATTTTCAGTTTTGATTGGTTGATGTGCAATATGTTTTGTATGCAGATAGTTGATAAATAAAGTTTGATCTTCCATCTTACAACTTAAAATATGCAAATATAAATGTTTTCTGGAATTTTCTTAAAACATTTTAACTTGGTTTTAAATTTGAGAATGTTTTCATTTGTATATATTTTATCAAGTAATATTTCTAGAATATAGCTTGTATTGAAAAACAAAAGTTGTACTACTTCCCCACATTCTAGTATTTTCCACCAAGTGCAGCTGTCGTCATAAAATTTAGAGCTTGGTGCTCTCAACCTCAACAGGACTACAATTGAACTGGGTAGCAAGGTTAGAGGCATGAATTTGCAACCGAAAACTTTGCTAGGGATAAGATTTCTCTACTTGGATATAGTCAATAGTTTCAGCTGTATTAGGAGTTGTCACATCCACTAGCTAGAAAGTTTGGGAAAGCAATTTGTTTCCAATTCTGTTTGTCTGGTGACCAGAATATGACTGTCACACATCACACACAATATAACATTATTGTGTAAGGAAATGTTTCTCTTCAACAGGCTGGAGTAGAAATCATTATCTGCATACGGTGGTGGTACGAGGATTAGCAAATGGGCCTATTGACGAATGTCTTGTAGTTTGTTTCATCAAAAACTGCTGGCTGCAAAAGCCAACCTGAATGACCAAGATGGCTTAGACAGTGGTTGATTAGCAATGTTGAGTGGCTGGGTGTTCACTGATGAAAAATGATAAATCTCTGAACTGTGAGGGTGAATGACAGGAAAAGTAAGGACACTGAATAAATGGGTGTTTGAAGTGTAAAAGTGTTTTGTTGCATAGCACGCCTGAGCCAACATGTGCATCTTTCTCTGCACATCCTCCAGATTTTGAGCATGAGCACTGGAAGGAACCTAACCTATCGGGGATCAGGAGACAATCTCTAGCAGTAAAAATTCTCCTCAGCATAATGTTCTCCTGTTACGCTTGCATGACAAGAGTCAGCAATGCAAGTGGGAGTTGTAAGATTAGAATGTAGTGATGGAAAACCATCTGCTGACAAGCAGAGGAACTGCAAGGTGATGAGTTAGTATCCTTGTGCAGTGCTCTGTTTGGATTGGTGGGTATGCTCACTGGCTGTTATGGCTACAGTATGCTACCACAAAGTATAACAGCCCTTTGTGTCCTCACACCAGTAATTATTTTTATGCATTATTTTCAGGGTTGACTACCACAGAGTTACAGCCAGCACCCTTTGAGGGAAGTGAACGTACTATTGCTAAGTTTGCAGATGACAGACAGGTCGTGAGGATGCCCACAGAGGGATATGGACAGGTTAACCGAGTGGGAAAATCTGAAGTTATATACTTTGGCAAGATTAGAAGAGCTGAATATTGTTCAAGTGGAGAAAACTGCAGATAGCTGTAACATTCAAGGATTGGTGGGGGAGGTCCTTGTATGTAAATCATTAAAGGGTATTAATGTCTGTGATAATTTTTCTTCTAAAATGAAAGCCAGTTGCAATGTTTCCTGCACTCAGTGCCTCCAGAAACATTTTCTATCAGTCGTTTGAGTCCTTGGACGAATAGAAGTTTGGGGGACTGTTACGGTTTTTAGATTTAGGAATTTGTGCCATGAACATTTTCAATTACAAATCCGTACCAGCTACTTCACAACCTGAATAAGTGGATGAAGATCTTACAATATTGCAAATTTGAATTCAGCCATTATTTCTCTCCATCATAAGGTCAGAAGTGGGTGTTCACGGTTGATAATATTTAAATAATGTTCAGGACACAAATTCAGGTGTGGTCTTGTGGAGCAGTGGTAGTGTCCCAGATGGAAATTCCACCTGCTCCAAAAGTATGTCACAATGTGTAGATATTTTAAATCAACCGGTTTACATAAGTTGAGGTAATAGGGATGGCAAATGGAATGCAGTATAAAAATGGGGAAAGTCTTGCTAAAAAATAAGGCATTAGTTAGCCAACCCCTAGAATAGCTTGAGCACTTTTGGCCCCCTTATCCAAAGAAAGATATACTGGCATCAGGCAGTCCAGAGGAAGTTCACTATGTTGATCCTGTGTATGAAGTGATTTTCTTATGAGAATTAGGAGACTGGGCCAGTAATCGTTGGAGTACAAAAGATTAAGAGATATTGAAACACGCAGGATTCTAAGGTGGAATTGATGTGATAGATGTTTAGAGGTTGTTTGCCGTTGCAGAGAGTCTAGGACCAAAACACAATCTCAAAGTATGGGGTCACCTATTTAAGACACACTTGAGCAGGAAATTCTTCTAGGATACTAAATCTATGGAATTCTTTAGTGCAAAGTTCTGTTGAGGTTGGGCTAAGTGTTCAAGAGATTTTGAATCAGTAAGGGAAATGAGAGTTATGTGGAAAAGGCAGACAAGGAGTTGAGGATCATCATAGCAGCTTTGAGTCTGCTCTACTGTTAAATGAATCCGAGCCAAATGGTCTACTTCTGTTCCTACATCTCATGATTAACACTTGTGTTACACAGAATTGCAGTAACCTGTAGCTGTAGTTACTTTCCACATTACTCCCATTTTCCTAGTCAGGTGAGGCTTCTGCCTTGACTTCCTGCAGACTGTTACTGTTATCCTTCTGTGTGACATTACATAGTGCTCAGCACATTGATTCTAGATGACTCAGCTGCTTCATCAGAATGATGGCTTACTCTGACGTTCCTCATTTTGCCATGACTGATACTGAACTTTGTCTCACTGAAGATAGCCTTATTACAAATGAATGTGGCACTTGGATTGTGATGATTGATGGGATGGATGCATGATTTGCTTGTGGCCACAGATTAACTGCATCTCAGGGTGAAAGTTTAGTTTAAGTTGCACTTTTGCACTAAACAGCCACTTAGACTGGATATACAATTTTTGAAAGGAACAATTTATGGTAGCTTGCTTAATTTGAATGTGGTCTCATTGACCATTTTGAAAGAGGTAGGGTGAAAAATCTAAATGTGTAATGGGAACATTAATACTCTTTGGCCGAATGGAGAAACCAAGAGGGTGGGCAAAAAGGATCTTCAAGAAATACTTAATGAAATTTCATTAAGCTTAGCTTTCCTCTATGGATGGTTCACTTGCTTTCACATCTGTATCAATCTACTTGTTCTCAGATAATTTATGCTGAGGACTTGCATCTTATTTTGCATGGAACACTTGATGGAATTGCTATTCCGAAAGAATCTCTAATTGAATCACTTAATCAGACAATTTGATCCTAAAACCCCAGTTCCTCTAAATTTCCCTTCAAGGAGTCTGTTTGTTGCACTATGTAGCCTCCAGACTGCCCCTACACAACTTGGAGAAAAACACTTCAAGTGATCATTGCCTGTGCTTCTCTCATTGAAGAATTACTTTTAGGATTCATTTAATGTACAAAAGTATTACTGAATATCAGATGATTTATTTAAAATAGGTTCTTGATTACATGATTAAATTAGCCTATTGCCACACCATAACCCATAATATATCCTTGCTGCAGTGATTGATGGTTCAGCTGTCTTCCTGCAAAATCATTTTTTGTTCTGAGAATCCAGTAAATCCTTAGCTTCATTGATTTTAGATGCAAGGTAAGGAGATCCACCTGTCAAACAAACCATTTTCTTCAACATGTTATATGTGCAGGATTGTAGTCTCCACTTTAATTAGGAATACCCAATTTTGAATAAATGAACTCACCTTTGTCTGGGTGATTGAGTACCATGATCCTTCTATGTGCTTCTCGAATCTTAACTTTATTAGCTGTAGGGCTATTAAACAGAAATTTTAAACCAAAAGTACTTTTTAACAGGATAAAATTTATGCAGAATTAACCACAGAGGCCAATCAACTATCAGATGCCCACTGACTTATTAATCGAACATGGAGTAGTCTACTTGTTCCTATAAAAATGGTCTAAGTAAACAAAACAAAGTGTGCTGGAAAATACAACGTATGCATTGGATTATCTTCCATGGGCAAGGTCAATGATTATGAAACAGTGTGCACATGTAAACACAGACATTTTTATTACTTCAGCTGAACACATTTAGACCTGTATAGAGCATGAAGATTCCGAGACAGTTTGAGATTTATGGATAATTAAGCATATAGCACAAGAGTGACCCAGGGTTTGCACAGCAAAAATTCAGATACATGCAAATAGTTCAAGACCACCAAAAACTTATTTAATCATCTTGGAGGTTATTTTAATTGTAGGCTTAAAGTCTATTTAAGACTATTAGTAGTTGTGCAAACAAGGTTATTTCATTGCAAATTAAAATATTGTTTTACCTCACTCCCAATATAAGAGCTGCTTCTCTCTTAGTCATTTTAGCCTCAAATCCACCCCTGTAGTATCCACTGAATGCCTGAAAAGAAAATTAGATTTTTTTTCAACAATTGTCTTTGTAATGTGGGACATCCTTTTCGAAATAAGACCCAATAAGTTCTGACAGCTGAATCTAAGTCAAATTATCCAAAAGTACAACAACATTTATAAAATAATGCAATAATATACCTGTGGAATGATCAACAACAGACATTTGATTTTATGCTGTTGCAAAGCAGTTTTAACACAATAAAGTTCACCCTGAACATGCAGTGTGGAAATACACTCCAAATGTGATAAGTTACCTTTTTCAGTGGAGGTCATGGATTAATTTAACATTGTCATACTATGCTTCAACTTGAATTTTTAATGCAGGTTTGACTCTTGACATGGGTAAAACAGGCAAGTCCAAATGTATTGATTATCCTCCTTGCCTGACAAATGCTTGTAATTCTTTCCTTTCTGATAATGTTAAGTAGGAAGACCTTAACAGTAACGATGAAAAAAATTAAGTACATCAAGTTTACATGGTGCATTAGATTTGGTAGTTACAGTTCCAATACTTTAATCTCTTGGAGTGACAGATGTGTTAAGGTAACCATAGCATGTTGCTGTTTGAACATAGACATTGTAATCACAGCATGCATAATACTGAAGGTTGGGGAGAGGGGTGAATATTAAATCCCGTACCAGCTTTGGCAAGCATCAAATGACAGATCAGATCTGAGCTCTAATCCTACAACATCCAATTGTAGGGTGGCACGGTGGCTCAGTGATTAGCAGTGCTGCCTCACAGTGGCAGGGACCCGGGTTCAACTCCAACCTCGGGCGATCTTCTGTGGAATTTGCACATTCTCCCCGTCTCTGCGTGGGTTTCCTCCGGATGATCCGGTTTCTTCCCACAGTCCAAAGATGTGCAGGCTAGGTGGATTGGCCGTGCTAAATTGTCCATAGTGTTCAGGGATGTGTAGCTTAGGTGGGTTATGGGGCGGATGAGTCTGGGTGGGATGCTCTCAGGGTCGGTGTGGACTTGTTGGGCCGAAGGGCCTGTTTCCACACTGTAGGGATTCTGTGAATTAAATAACTCACAGGAGGCAGCGGCAGCTCCACAAATATCCATATTCTCAACAATGGAAGAGTCCAGCGTATTAGTGCAAAAGGCAAGGCTGAAACACTTGCAGCAATCTTCAGTCAGAAGTGGCAAGTGGATGATCCATCTCAGCCCCCGACAGTGGTCCTCAACATCACAAATGCCAGTCTTCAGCCCGTGCAATTCACTCCACCTGCTATGAAATAGTTGGAGGTACTTGGTACTGCAAGGACTATGGGGCCCTGACAACATTCTGCAACAGAACGTGCTGCTTCCCTAGCTAAGCTGTTCCAGTACAGCTACAACTACCTGAAAAGATGGAAAATTGCCCAGGTATGGCCTGTACACAAAATGGAGCATAAATCCAGCCCCGGCCAATTACTGTCCTGTCCATTCTCGATCATCAGTAAAATGATAGCCCTGTTGATGACACTTTCTATCAAGCAGTTCCTGCTTACCAACACCCCACTCACTGACACTCAGTTTGGGTTCCGCCTGGGTCACAACTCCTGACCTCATTACAGCATTGGTTCAAACAAAACAGCTGAATTCCTGAGGCAAGGTAAGAGTGATAGTCCTTAGCAGAGGATTCCAAGCATATTTGGAAGCAATGGGAATCAGAGGAAAACTCTCTGTTGGTTATAGTCATACCTGACACATAATAAGACAATTGTGGTTGTTAGAGGTCAGTCATCTCACCTCCAGGACACTGATACAGAAGTTCCTCAGGGTAGTCTAAGTCCAACTATACTCAGCTGCTTCAATGACCTTCCCTCCATTTGAATTGTGATGTTTGATGATTGCACAATGTTTAGCACCACTGAACACCTCATACTGATGCAGTCCATGTTCAAATGCGACAATGTCCATACTTAGGCTGACAGATGGCAAGAAACATTCGTGCCACTCAAATGCCAAGCAATAACAATCTCCAATAAGAGGCAACCTAACTGCTGTTCTTTAACATTCAATGGTGTTACCACTGACCAGAAACTCAACTGGATTTGCTATATGAATACAGTGGCTAAAAGAGCAGGTCAGAGACTAGGAATACCGTGGTGAGTAACTCACATCCTGACTCCCCAGAGCAGGTCCACTATCTACGAGATAAAAGTCAGGAATGTGGTGGAAAAGTCAGCACTTGACTAGATGAGTACAGCTCCAGGAGAAGCATGAAAGCTTGACACCATCCAGGAAATGTCAGCCCACTTGATTGGCACCTCATCCATTCCCTCCACCACTACTTTCAATAGTACCACACTGCTATCTGCATGATACACTGCAGAAATCCACAGATCATAACTCCGCACCTTCCTAGCCACGATCACTTCCACCTAGAAGGACAAGCAGATACTTGGGAAAGCCACCACCTGCAGGTTCCCCTCTAAGCTACTTACTGTCCCCCCGACTTGCAAATGTATCGCCATTCCTTCACTGTCACAAACCTGGAATTGTCTCTGAGGGCACTGTGGGTTACCTACAGCACATGGACTGCAGTGGTTCAAGGTGGCAGCTCACCACCACCACCTTCTCAAGGGCAAATAGTGACGGGTAATAAACGTTTGCTAGCCAGTAACCATCCACATTCCATAAGTGAATAATTTTTTAAAAAGCAAATTGCCCTGATATGAATATCCAGAGAAATGCTTAATGTATGTTTCCAAGATTTTTTCTACCTTAAGCAGAAGAGATGATGGAAACAATGAGTTTCCGGGATTGAGACATTGCTGTAGAGCATCTAGCCTCTGTCTTGCACTTCGATCCATGGTTTTCATTTTGTTAGCTTAGTGAAGCACCTAGAGCAATCCTTACAAATTTTGATCAAGGCCATAATTTAGTGCAAATTTATAAAAGCTCCCTGCTATGCAGTTAGGAGCAACCTGAAATAACACATTTGTTTCACTGATCGCACAGGGAAGTCTGATCTAGATTTTAACCTTGGTCCCAGACGTAAAGAACATGAACATAAGATATAGTTCATGCGTGAAATAAAAATGTTAAGCCATTTAAAATATAGAAAACTATTTTAAAAAAATTCTAATTTCCTATTTAATACAGGGGGTTCTGCTATAACGTGATAGTTGCGTTCTAATGCAACATCCTGTTATAGAAAGTCACGCTATATTAATAAACAGGGCCAATGGAAAAAGCAGGGTTAGAGGCAGACCAACAAAAAAAAAACACTAAATCACTCAAAATTCTTCCTCACCACTCTCCTATAAGTATTGGCGCCAGTCTTCAGTGTTAGGTTCATCCAGTCGCAAGTAGCATTATTAATTAAATGGAAGTGAGAAAGTCAGTAAAATGCCAGAGTTCAGTTTACAGCTAAAAGCTTCATGGTTTGCAGAAGCAGACAGTAATGAGCAGATTTACAGATTCTTCATCATTGCAGCCATGGATTTGCTTCCCACATACCAACACATTGTACATTCATACCCAAACTTCAATGACACTCATCATCACCCACTCATGAACATAAATAGTGAGCCGTCAGCTACAATCTGCTACCGCCAGCAGCACTAATGACCTATCAGCACTAAGTCTGAACTACCACAGACAGCATCCTTTTGACAGCAAAAACAACCTATGGTCACCAACAGCATCCAGCTTCCAACAGAAACACAAGGACACCAGCAGTATCCAGCAATTCCTGGAAATAATATCATCCAGTACTCAACACCAACACAATTCACCAACATCAAACCCCAGCAGTAAAAACCAGTCACCAAGAATAATTGATCACTTGGTCAATAGAGAAAACTCCAATCACCAACAACGGCAAAGCCCAATTAGAAACAATATCAAGTCACTTCCCAACAGCATTGCCCTGACTCCAACAATTAAATGCATTCAAGGGTAAGACCATTTACCTGTCAGAAACATCAACAACACTTAAATCACTGGCAATCACATCACCTGCTCACTGGCAGCATCTCCCAGTCACCAGCAAAACTACCCAATGTGCAGTTGTATTATGTTGTCACTAACAATATGAGCCTGTCACCATCCCTCATTGACTGGACACTGACAATCATTATTTCCTCAAGCTGTTTTCTCATGATTGTTCTTTGAGAACCCTATTGCCTACTTTGGACTGAGGCTTAATTCTACTATTTTTATCAATCTGACTGACATTCTGATCACAGACAAATTATCCAGATGTGTGTAATGTTCGTGATGTATCTTTTCAAAATAATACAAGAACATCATGCACAGTTGTGTTTCTGCTTTATTGTCGCAGTTCTCTAATGCTAAACATTGTGGTGATCGCGTTATAGCCAACACAAAGTTCACATTTTACAAATACCGTTCCCCCACTCGTCAATCGCGTTGTAGCCAATTCGCATTTCCAGAACATGTGTTTTAGGAAAATCCTCTATTACCAGAGGAAGACCAGCTCAGGAAAATTGACACTTAGAAAAGTGAAGTTTTGCATTCAATAAACTGCAAAACAGAAACTAACCGACTTAGGCAGGCTTTGAATAGTTTGTTTCAAAGCGGGTTCCACATGCTTCATAGCCTTAACAACATAGCGGCCTAAAAAGGAAGAACAAACATACTGAAAAAGTAACTAACATATCAAAAGTTACACAGTGTGGAGCTGGAGGAACACAGCAGGTCAGGCAGCATCAGAGGAGCAGGAAGTTGACGTTTTGGGTCATGACCCTTCTTCAGAAACAGGGAGGGGAAAGGGAGCTCAGAAATAAAGAGAGAGAGGAGGGGTGGGACTGGGGAAGGTAGGTGGGATGGTGAGAGCTAAGTGCAGACAGGGAGTGGTGGGGATTGCTCAATGAAGTGGGAGGGGCGGACAGCTGGGAGAGAAGACGGACAAAGATAACAAGGTGTAGAGCTGGATGAACACAGCAGGCCAGGCAACATCAGAGGAGCAGGAAAGCTGACGTTTCGGGTCAGGACCCTTCTTCAGAAATGGGGGTGGGGGATCAAATAAACAGAGAGGGGGAGGCGATGATAGAAGATGGATAGAGGAGCAGATAGGTGGAGAGAAGACGGACAGGTCAAGGAGGCGGGGATGAAGCCAGTACAGGTGAGTGTAGGTAGGGAGTTGGGATGGGGGTTGGTCAGTGAGGTAGGAGGAGTGGATAGGTGGGAGAAAAGACAGACAGGTCAAGGAGGCGGGGAAGAGGTGGGCTGGTCTTGGGACCACAATTTCTCCTCCACAGTGGTCGAAAACGCCCACGACTGCATCTCTTGCGTTTCCCGCACTTCAGCCTTCACACCCACTCCCCGCAATAACAACAAAGACAGAATTCCCCTTGTCCTCATGTATCACCCCATCAACCTCCGGATTCAACGCATCATTCTCCACCACTTTCGCCACGTGCAATCTGACCCCACTACCAAGGATTATATTTCCCTCCCCACCCATATCTGCCTTCCGGAGGGACCGGTCTTTCTGTGACTCCCTCGTCCACTCCACACTCCCCACTAGTCCCACCACCCCTGGCACGTTTCCCTGCAACCGCAGGAGGTGCTACACCTGCCCCTACACCTCCCCCCTCACCTCCATCCCAGGCCCCAAGAAGACCTTCCACATCAAACAGATGTTCACCTGCACATCTGTTAATGTGGTATATTGTATCCACTGTTCCCAATGTGGCCTCCTCTACATCGGGGAAACCAAGCGGAGGCTTGGAGACCGCTTTGTGGAGCACCTACGCTCGGTTCATGACAAACGACAACACCTCCCAGTTGCGAACCACTTCAACTGCCCCTCCCACTCCTTGGATGACATATCCATCCTGGGCCTCCTCCAGTGCCACAACGATGCCACCCGAAGGCTGGAGGAACAGCACCTCATATTCTGCCTGGGAATGCTGCAGCCCAATGGTCTCAACGTGGACTTTACAAGTTTCAAAATCTCCCCACCCCCAACCTCATCCTAAGACCAGCCCATCTCGTCCCCGCCTCCTTGACCTGTCTGTCTTGTCTCCCACCTACCCGCCCCTTCCTCCTCACTGACCAACCCCCATCCCATCTCCCTACCTACACTCACCTGTACTGGCTTCATCCCCGCCTCCTTGACCTGTCCGTCTTCTCTCCACCTACCTGCTCCTCTATCCACCTTCCATCATCGCCTCCCCCTCTCTCCATTTATTTCAGAGACCCCTTCCCCTCCCCCATTTCTGAAGGGTCCAGACCTAAAACGTCAGCTTTCCTGCCCCTCTGATGCTGCCTGGCGTGCTGTGTTCATCCAGCTCTACACCTTATTATCTCAGACTCCAGCATCGGCAGTTCCTATTATCTAGAGAAGATGGACAGGTTGTGTCAGATCAAGGAGGCGGGTATGAGGGAGGGTTGGTCATGGGGTGAGGGTGGGGGTGGGTGGATTTTGAAACTGGTGAAATCCACATTTAGGCCATTGGGCTGTTGGCTCCCAAGGTGGAACGAGGTGCTGCTCCTCCAGTTTTTACCCCAACTTCCAATTCACCTGGACAATCTCCGATATCTCCCTCTCCTTCCTGGACCTCTGTCTTCACCTCTGGTGATCGCCTTGAAACCAACATTTTTTTTAAGCCCACCATCTCCCACAGCTACCTAGACTATACCTCCTCTCACCCACCTTCCTGCAAGAATGCAATCCCCCACTTCCAATTCTCTGCCTCGTCTGCTCCAAGATGGGGCATTCCATTCACGCAGATCCCAGATATCCTCCTATTTCAAGGACCGCAACTTCCCCCTTCGGTGATCGAAATTCCCTCAACCGCATCTCTTGCGTTTCCCACACCTCTGCCCTCACATCGCCTCCCCCGCAACAAAAATAAAGATAGAATCCCCCTTGTCCTCACATATCACCCCACCAACCTCCGCATCCAACATATCATTCTCCACCACTTCCGCCATCTAAATCCGACCCCACAACCAAAGATATATTTCCCTCCCCATCCCTATCCCTATCTGCCTTTCGTAGGGCCTCTCTGAGACTCCCTTGTTTGCTCCACACTCCCTGGGTGACATGTCCATCCTGGGCTTCCTCCAGTGTCACAATGATGCCACCTGCAAACTGGAGGAGCAGCACCTCATATTCCGCCTCGGGAGCCTACAGTCCAATGGCCTAAACTTGGATTTTACCAGTTTCAAAATCTCCCCACCCCTGCCCTCATCCCATGACCAACCCCTCCCTCTCATACCTGCCTCCTTGACCTGACACAACCTGTCCATCTTCTCTCCCACCTATCTGCCCCTCCCACTTCACTGACCAATCCCCACCACTCCCTACCTGCACTCACCTATAATCATCCCACCTACCTTCCCCAGCCCCACCCCTCCTCTATTTATTTCTGAACTCCCTTCCCCAGCCCCACCCCTCCTCTATTTATTTCTGAACTCCCTTCCCCCTCCCCATTTCTGAAGAAGGATCCTGACCCGAAACGTCAACTTTCCTGCTGCTCTGATGCTGCCTGGCCTGTTGTGTTCCTCCAACTCCACACTGTTATCTCCAACTCCAGCATATGCAGTTCTTACTATCTCTGAGTAACATATCAAAAGGTATAATTTTGCACTATTTAAGTATGTAGGAGTCCTCCAGTATATTTACTGGCTGCTTATGAGATTAAGCGTTAATTGGAAATGTCACTTGTTTGAATAGAGCTATTGTGTAATCCCAACAGATAGGCACGTGTCTAATTTCACTTTTGTATTACCCAAGAAATGCACACTGGGGATGGATAGTGTGAGTGTGTGAGTGTTTAGTAGGGGTAGAATAACCTTAAAAAAATGGGTAATGTGGCTAACAGCTAACAGTAGCAGCTACAATCCTAAGAAAACAGACTAGGTACCTCAACACAAATGTGATAAGGAATAAAGGGTGCCTCTCACAAGTAAGATTAGGCCAGAACTATATGTCCACTGTATTGCTGCAGCTGCAATGATTTTAGCTCATGGGTATGTTTAAAAAAAAAAATGTCAAGTGATCATGCAAGAATGATGTAGCCTGGGTAGGCACCAATGAGTATGTGACATCACTGTAATTGGATGGGTTAAATAAAGTGCAAGTTCATGTTTGAGTTAAACAGGTCTCCATAAATTGTATCAGAGATA